TTTCTGAGAGGAATGCTCATTCCAGCAAACTGCTTCTGCCGCCAGGGATATGATTCGTTCCAGTCGTATGCTCCAAGGAACACACCTTCTGCAGGTATTTAAAGGAGGAGTGCACACTTGCTGAAGGCGGACAGTTGCTGCAAGCGTCATTGGTGGAAGAGCTGCCACAGGCATTCGGTAACACCCCACTCCGCTCTGCCACCAACGAAGCCGGCACAACCGCCCGCTCCCAGCAATCACGCCCACTGCCCTTGTGGTACGCTCCTTAATCTGAAACCTGTCATCAGGAAACCACGCCCTTATGGCAACTTGGTAGCCAATCTAGAGTGTTCTTGCTTTCTCAAAATTGTTTGATGTTTTCTATTTCAGGCTGCTATTCGGTCAAGCAAGCCGAAGCCACTTACACGCTAGCGGCTAGTCGTTGCAGAACAGAGGGAGGTGTGGTCGCACTTGCCAAGACTCGAAATCAAACAGATTACCTCAATTCAAGTGAGAACTGCTTTCAACTGCACTACATGATGCTATCAACTCCGAGAGGGGGCTCCTTATTTCAAAATGGGATTCACGTCATATCTGAAAAAAAGTTCACTCACCTTTGACATGAGCTCCTTCGCACTTTACGCTTAGGCAGAGTTACTGCGCGAGGGGTTCTCTGAATGCCCCCCCCCTCCTTTCGCTCCAAGGTTATTAGCACCGAATACATTTTTTATCTCTCTACTGTGTTCTATTTGTCTGTCCTTTACGTTTTTTTAACAAACTAATTATTCTGTAAAACTAGTTGTAAGAGAAAGGTGGACAGGAGCTTCCCAAAGTGGTCAGGAGGTTCTCCCTTAGGACTCATTTTCCAAGTTTTGGTAATATTTTATCTAAAATGAGCCAAAAGGGTACAGACGTTCTTAGAGCGACAGCTTCTCCATTCTAGACTGAATGTGCATCAACACATTATTTAACTTAATAACCCCTAACTGAGCCTAACTATAAAAGGCATACAGGGGGCCAAAAAAAGTCACTTTTCTTCATTGACTTTCGAGGCGCTATAAGTTACACTTTATTGAATTCTGATCGGACATTTTTACCACCATATTAAAGAGCATATTAAATACTATCATGACACTCCGCCACAGCCTTCTGGACGAGCGCCATCGAGAGATTCTGGCACGCGACGCGATGTGGTGCCTGAGATCAGCGAGATAGTCGATTTCTCCGCCACCGTAGACCACCCTATTGAACTCCGCCCGAACCGGGTAATTGAGGGGATTCAGGTCAGGTGACCTACTTGGATATTCCATCTTCTTTAGGTACTCAGCCCCCTTCCATTCCAAGTAGGCGAGTGGGCGCTGTTTGGGGCATTTATCATTGCTTCCCTAGTTCCGGTTTACAAAGCTCACTGGTAAAACTTGTGAACTCTTGTGAAGCTGAAGTAAGATTGTCTAGCCACTATCCTAAAACGTGTCAACTCGAGAAACGGCTACCTAGATGGGTCGACACATCTATGGAAAGCAAAATGCCTCTCGTCGACAAACTGCGCCAGGCGGTGTTTCTCCAACGGCCTTCGATTTCATGTGGTGGCACCCTATGCTGTAGCAGTACAATGTTCCCAAGAGGGTACGGTCAACGACATGTGAGGAGGATATCCTTTACCAGTTGCCCAATGTAATCGCCAGCGCTCACCTTCAGTCCGTGGTCCACGAAGAAAATTGGTCTTTCCATTCCAGGTACGTCCGGTCCATACCATCAACCGCCTTGGCGACTGTGGTGAAGATGATGTCCTAGACCGTGGCGACGTTGTCGGAGCTGCTCGATGTTGGAGGTCATCCAGATCGAGAGTACTAGTCTCCAGATAGCTACCCATGGGTGACTCCATACTAGAAGTTTCGCAGCTGTTTGGAGGTGACATGAATTCCAAAGGTCTTCTCCAGTCAGGCTGCGACTGGAGATGACTTCATATTTTGGTGTACATGAAGGTGATGGGCGAGAGCCAGCTGCTTATCGAGGAACATCTTGGGTATCTTCCGCCCTGGTACTCGTATCCACGTCCTCTGTCTGGGCAGCGAAAACTTTGCTGATATGTGACTCGGTCGAAGTGACTTTTTTTGGCCCCCTTCCCCTGTGCAACAAGTGTTGTTGGCTCCCTGCCGTTTTCTTGCCTCACTGCCTTCACTAGTAGACCTACGCTGAGCTCACTCATCTCAAACATGGCTTTTCATGGGATCAAACTACCCTCAATTCCTGTGAAAAGTCCGCCACTAGATAGGCCCGCACGACGCCCTTCTATACTCCAGATCCGGAGGTGTGCTAGGCGTGGTTGCATACCTTATTTGAACGCAGTGGCAGCTGCGCTTTCGATGAGATATTTTCATTTTGGGACAAATTTAATCATGTCGCTGTCCAGCACATGACAAGCATATGTAGATACAGATGATACTGCTTTGAACGGAGGATATCCCATAACCATCCTGCGCTACATTCAAATGAACTATGCAGCCATGCCTACCGTGTGCAGCCAGAGATATGCAGTGCATCTATTCTACGGGATTCTAGGGTGAATTAAAATGTGACCAGCTCTAACAGGGTAGCTCTGTTTCTGCCCATTTATTCCTTTCCTAGAGAGACAATGTACATAACAGATGAACACAATATTACTTCATCAGCACGTCTTCAGAGTTCGTTACCGGAAGCAGTTTTTGGATCGGTCTCAAATGGGATCAACTCAATCAAGTCTACAAATGGGCGGATGGAAGCGTGGTGAGATATGAAGCAGTACTATATCTTTCCGACTTGTATTATCCGTCAAGGTTTTCACGGTATTTTCCTATTTCGCTAATTTGCCCTCTTAGAACGCATATAAGGCCTCACTGTCTTTATACAGGACCTGAGGTCAGAAGCGCTTC